AGAGGCCCAAGTCAGATGAGGATCAGATGCTCTCAGTCTCCTAAGGTCTGGATCCCTCCAGGATAGATTTTGGCTTCAGGAATTTGGGGGGTTGGACTGGGCTCGGAGCTCCAGCCGGGCCCAGGAAAGATGCTGGTCTAGGGCAACTGGTGGCCGTGCCACCCAGAGATACAAAGGAAGATGGGGGCAGGAGGCGGCCCCAAGGGCTCCTGCGCTGAGGACCTGGGTTGGTCTGGATGAAAGGATCAGGAAGCGGAAAGGTCAGCCCAGGTGTCCAGGAAAGAGGCTGTGTTGGACTGGGCTCGGAGCTCCAGCCGGGCCCAGGAAAGATGCTGGTCTAGGGCAACTGGTGGCCGTGCCACCCAGAGATACAAAGGAAGATGGGGGCAGGAGGCGGCCCCAAGGGCTCCTGCGCTGAGGACCTGGGTTGGTCTGGATGAAAGGATCAGGAAGCGGAAAGGTCAGCCCAGGTGTCCAGGAAAGAGGCTGTTCGGTTGTGCAGCCCAGGGAAGCAGAAGGTGAGGGGGGGCCAGAACCAGAGGACTCCTGGGGACCCCAGAAGGAACTGGGTTGGTCTGGATACAAAGGATCAGAAAGCAGTGGTGGTTCCTGTGGTGCCTGCACCAAGACAAGGAATGGGACAGGACCCAGGCTAGGCGGAGAGACCAGCGGGGGAGATGGGTGGGTGAGTGAGGCTGGGGGAATCAAGGTATGGAGGGCCTGATCGACTTACCCCAGAGACAGAGGCCTGCCGGTTGGAGAGAGGCCTGTCTGATTCAAAGATTTTAAGAACTATGGGACCATTTAGACTTTTAAAAACTGCATTTATTTAATTATTTATGTATGTATGTATTTGGGGATGGGCATTAAGCATGACACAGCATGTCTGTGGAGGTCAAAGAACAACTTCCAGGAGTCGGTCTCTCCTTCTACCCTGTGAGTCCTGGGGGTCAAACTCAGGTTGCCAGCTCCTATTCAGAACTTTTATTTCTTCTTAAAGTAAGCCTGAAAAGTTATATTTTTCTGAGATTTGTTCAATTTCGTTCCATATTTTATGGCATACATTATTTATAGACTAATAGTCTAATTTTTTAAAACTTTATTTATTATTTTTATTTTATGTGTATGAGTGTACTGCCTGCATGTATGTGAGTGCACCTGTGTCCTGCAATGCCGCAGAGGTCAGAAAAAGGCTTCAGATTCCCCTGGAACTGTAGTTAAGGACAGTTCGTAGCCGCCATGTGGGTGCTGGGAAATGAACCCAGGTCCTCTGCAAGAGCAGTCCGTGTTCTTAACCGCAGAGCCATCTCTCCAGCTCCTAATTTATTTTTATTATATTATTTTTTAGGGGAGGGGTTGAGAGTAGCCTGGATTAGCCTCAAACTCACAATCCACCTGCCTCAGCCTCCCAAGTGATGGGATTATACAGGTGAGCCATCATGCCTAGCTTAGTTTTATTTATTTACTTATTTATTTATTGCTTTTATTTTATGTGTCTATATGTATTGTGTGCATGTATGCAAGAGTACTCATGTTGTGCAATGCCTATGAGAGAGGGGGCATCAGATCCCCTGGAACTAGAGTTACAGACAGTTGTTAGCCTCCTTGTGGGTGCCTTCTGCAAAAACAGTCAGTGCCCTTAACTGCTGAGCCATCTCTCTGGCACCTTACTTTTTTTTAATTTTAATTTTATGTGTATGAGTGTTATGCCTGCATGTATGTAAGTGCACCCATGTTGTGCAGAGCCCGCAGAGGTTAGAAGAGGACGTTGGAGCCCCTGGAACTGAAGTTATAGGTGGTTGTTAGTTGCCAAGTGGGTGCTGGGGTTCAAACCTGGGTCTTCTGCAGGAACAAATAGTGTTCTTAACCGCTGAGCAATCTTTCCAGTCCCCTTTAGTTTTATTTTTAATTTTGGTAAGATGCACATAAAATGTGCTACATGTCCATATATATATATACATACATACATATATATGGATGTATATATATAGCTTGTTCATACTGTTCTGTAGCTAATCTTCAGAACCAATCTTAGAAAATGAAACCAGCCATGAACCACCTCCTACTTTCCCTTCCCAGCCCCTAGCAACCGCTCTTCTCCTATCCGTTCTGTGAGTTTGTATGCGTTACCCTTTACAGTTGTGCTTGTGTTTCCATAGATGTTCCTGGTAATGGTTGTTTGTGCTTGCTTTTTTGTTGTTTATTAATAGAGTGTACCAGAGCCTTGTCCAGAAGTTTCCTCTGGCCTTCTGCTGCCTTGCATTTCCCTCCCGAGGGTCTCCAGGGAATCCGGCCCTAATGCTGCTTCCTCGCACTGGTGGGCTGTCTCAGCTACCCCAGCTGACTGTCACTCACAGGGGCTTTTCAGTCTTTCCTAGATATGTGACCTTGTGTCTTAGCCTCTCTGTGTCTCTGTTTCTTTGGAGCAGTATTTTAGCTTATCAGGTTTAGGGAATAATTCATGACTATGTATAGAATGCTTATGACTGTGGCCAACCTGAAGTGGGTACAGCCAGGTGCCCCAAGGCAACATTTCCATCAGTGACAGGCCATACTGGTCCCAAAAGATTATACTGGAGCTAGAAAATTCATATCACCCAGAGATATCATAGCTGTCACAACACTAACACAAGGCATCACTCACAAATTCCTGGGGACACTGGTATAAACCTACCATACAGACAATTACATTAAAGTATATCACATTCAGCTATGTACCCAAAGTGTGTGCATCTAGGTTTATGTGGGTACACTATGCTGTACACACAACCACAAACTGCTTAATGACAGATTTCTCTGAACTTATCCCCTGGTTACCTGGCCTGGCTGGGCAAGAAGATCGCAAATTCAAGGTTAACCTGGACTACAAAGTGAGATCAAGGCCTGTGTGGGCAACTTAGTGAGACCCTGTCTCAAAATGAAAAATAAAAAGAAGGCCGAGGCTGTAACTGAGTAGCAGAGCGCTTGCCTCGTGTGCATGAATCTGCAGCAGTTTAATTGACAGCATTGCAAAAAATGAAAAAATAGGGAATGGAGAGATGGTTCAGCAATTAAGAGCACTTGCTGCTCATCCAGAGGACCTGAGTTCAATTCCCAGCACCCATATCAAACAGCTCGCAAGTGCCCCGCACTCAAGCTCCAGGGGATCTGATGCCCTCCTCTGGCCTCCATGCATGTGATGCACATACATACACTTAGGCACACATACATACACATAAAATAAATAAATCTTTTTTTAAAATGCAACAAAGAGAAACTGCTTGTTAATCTAAGTCTATAATGTGTTGCTATCTTCTTATTCTCCACTGTAGCTCCCAAAATTTCCCCAGCTATACAGTACCCCGGGCATCAACTCCTGTTCTCAGCACTGTGCCAGTACTATGTGAGATCAGACCCCACCCCCTGGTTACCCTTCCTTCTGGCATCATTCCAAAACTCAGCAGCCTCATCCAGGGAAGTCCCTGGATCCAGGCTGATAGCAACTGTTCTGGACAGCTGTATACAGCCATGATTACTTTGGGCCTCAGCCTGTGGGAAGGGCAGGACTTCCCAGTGTCCTCCAACCCAGGAACCTAGGTCACAGGCTAAGCAATTGATGCTTCCGCTGCCTGACTTCTTGAGGGCCTGAAGGTCTGAGAGCTAGTCTATACACATGGCCTCCCGATCTCAGATAGTGAGCCCTTAAAACACTGACGCTCTCTTTGGATAGGCCCTTTCTGGGATTCCCCTCAGAAGCAAGGAGACCTGCTCTTGTCCTTCCTGGTCCCCAGGGATCCAAGAGAGAACTAGGAGAGTAAAGTTACATGTGTGAACAAAATGTCACCTGGGAAGGCCTACTAGTCCATCAGAATTCACCCTGCCCGCCTCACCTGTGCCCTGCATCTGGAAAACCCTGCCTGGCCTGGAAACCTTCAGGCTCTAACCCTTCTAGACCATGGCTCTACCTGGAAGATGGAAGGGCAGGACACTAGTAGACAGGTCTAGAAAAAGGCCTGGGGTTTGAGGATAGGCTGAAGTCAGACTGTTGCCTGCTATCCTAGCAGTGAGTCACTGGAGAACTGCAGGCTGCCCTTTCTGAGGCTCTGGGCCCCATACAGTGCCAGTTTCTGCTGGAGATGAAGCAAAACACTAAGGTATGTGCAGACGTGTGCTGGTCATTAGCAATAGGACATCACATTCCTGCCTGGTTTCCTTAGAGAAGCCCCCATCTCTGGTCCTTTGCTATGGTGACCGTGTTCAAACTTTGGATATTGCCTTCTCAATATCCAAATATGGATATGACCCTAATAGGGGTCCTATGGTATTTGGAACTCCCCAGATCAGAGCCTTAGAGGGTTCATTGTGCTCTGTGAGGACATCACATTCCTGCCTGGTTTCCTTAGAGAAGCCCCCATCTCTGGTCCTTTGCTATGGTGACCGTGTTCAAACTTTGGATATTGCCTTCTCAATATCCAAATATGGATATGACCCTAATAGGGGTCCTATGGTATTTGGAACTCCCCAGATCAGAGCCTTAGAGGGTTCATTGTGCTCTGTGTACACAGCCCACAGGGATCCCATGTGCAAGCACATCCTTACACACGCACATGCTTGTTTGCATGTGATTCCCCCATTACTCTTCCTAGCACTGTGTAGGGAGCAGGCCACGTGGGAGGACCAGGTTACACCCCTGCTTATCAGCTGCTTCCCAGCTTCCTCTGCCTGAATTCTTGAGGGCCTGAAGGTCTTGGAACTGGCTTATGCACATGGCTTCCTGATCTCAGATAATGAGAGGAAATGAGATCACGGGCACAGAGAAAGCTACAGATTTTAGGTTGCAGCTCCAGCCTCTACTCCCTGACCTGTGATGTACATCTGTCTGTCTCCCTCCAGGCAGCCCGTGACTATTCCCCTGGAAACCGTGGACCCCATCTGAGATGTCTTATTTTGGTTGCTGGGGCCTGCCCATGGCCCTTCTCACCCTACTTTGCTGCCCAGGTAAGCTGGTATCCAGGGTTCCTTGCATGTGGCATCCTAGGGTGGGAGTTTTGCTCAGTTCCCTGGGCTTTGGGTGGTAGAGGGAGGCACACTGGCCTTGCAATTGAAGGTTTGAACAGAAGGACCAATCCATTGTGGGTACAGAAGCTTGTGTTTGTCTGGCTTTGGGACCCCCATGGCTTCAGGCAGTGGGTAGGCACTTGGACACCAGATGGAATGGACTCTACATCTCTGGGAAATCTGGTGTGGCAGGTTGCAGAGACTGGAATGGTGGGCAGTGGGTGGTTGGGGGCCTCAGGAAGGGTCTAAGAAAAGATGAGCGGGTATGCTAAGCCTGTCTTCAGAAAGGGCGTAGTGGACAGCAGCGGGGAGCAGACGACATTGTCCTCATTAGTATAATAAAGCGAAAATGAAACCCCTTTCAGTAGGTCAAGGGGACTGTGAAGAAAAATGCCACCTCATGCTGAGCACCCTGTGTCTTAGACTATCTGCCAAAAGCCTTCAAAATCGATTTCCCTGAACACTCAGGACCCAGGAGACACTAGCCTAGATGGATAAAGACAGTGAAGCTCAAGAGAGCAAATGCATCTGACCCCAGACCGTCCCGCCGATGCATGGCAAAGTCTGGGTTCAAACCCAGCGCTGTCTGCATGAAAAGCCCCTCTGTTATCACCCATGCCACTAGCTGACAGCTGAGTGGGCCATGTGGGGAGGTAAGAAGCACAGAACACACAGGGCCCTGCTGGCCAAGACCCCAGTCCTCACAGAGTGAAGGTAGGCACTGAGGGTTCCATCTGCACTCACCAGATACTTTCTAAATGCCTGGCATGCACAGAGCTTTATGGTCAACATAAGGGGAGGCATGCAAAACCCAGACCCAGTCTTCCAAAAACTACAAAAATGTCTGTGGAAGCATCAACAGACCCTTTCACTGTGGTCTATTACTTTTCAGGCTTTATCTCTAATATTCCTCCTCCTAGCTGAGCCCTGACCATGCTGGTCTCCCTGCTGCCTCAAGAATGCATGCTCCCAACAGCAGTCTTTGCACTAGTGTTTTCCTCTGTCTGAAACATGTGTCCACAATATGTATAAGGCTCACCACCTCCCTTCATCTCTACCTCAACGTCATTATCTTTTGTTAACCACATTATTCAAAAAAGAACCTATCCCCACATCTATTCCCTTTCCCTGGGGCTTACTACCACCCAAAGAACACCCTGATGGTTCTCTATCATTGTATGAGCTCAGAATGGACCACTATTCTCAAGGATGTCTTCATGGCAAAGGAAACACTGGGCTAGAGCTGAGGGGGCAGAAGATAGATGTGAGGAAGATGGAGCTTGAGCTGACAGTCAGGGATTGCAGGAAGGAACACCCAGAGGCAGGGAGGGGCTGGGAGGCAACCATGTGGGTCTAGACATGCAGCCACAAGCCTGACACAGGGAATGGGGCAGAGGGACCAGAGGTGGCTTTTCTTCCTATACCTCTAACCGTTGATCCTAACTGCTGGTGATAGAGAGCTCCACTGACAGGCATTAGGGACATGCACTGCACAATTGCTTCTGATCTTACAGGGTCTGCTGAGGCATTTGAGGTCTACATAGAGTTTGAGAAGCAGGTGGTAGAGGCCACTGAGTCTTTGAAAATCAACTGCAGCACCAGCTGTGCTGAGCCAGAACTGGGTGATCTGGAGACCCACCTGGTTAAAACAATGTTGGACCAGCATCCTAAAGGGAGGTGGAAGCTGTTCCTAGTCTCAAATGTCTCCCAGGACACCGTCTTCCTCTGCCACTTCACCTGTGCCCAGAAGCAGCAGTCAAGGGAACTCCGCATCAGAGTGTACCGTGAGTGTCTATGTACAGGTCTTCGCTCCCCAGGGCAGAGCCTGTGTCTACTGAATGGTCCTGAAGCTGCTCAGGTGACTGTAGGAGGGCCCGTTCACCATGGTCCTCACCTGCCTGGCCTCCTGAGTCACAAGCATCAGACCAGGCCAGTGGACTCTGAATCTGTCCACACCCCTGATTGGACTCTGTGAGTTGGCCTGCATCTCAGAAGCAGGCCACCCAGGTTTTGAACATTGTTCCAAGGAAGATAGCCTAACCAAGGTTTCAACAGATCCAGAAGTCAGTCCCAATGCAGTGTCTCCAGCATCTCTACACCAGCTCAGCCACCAGTGCACCCCATATCCATCAGGGAGCTGTCATACTCCAATAGCTCCTTCATCTCATGGGGACAAAGTAGAGGTATCATGAGGTAGTCTATCTTCTCCCAAGGACCTGTGGTAAATGTGTGACCATCACACACATATACACACCTGCCAGGACAAGCCAGGATACTCTTAAATCTTAGCTCCAGGTGTATCACTGGGACCCTCCCCATTACTGACATCAGTGGATCAAAATAATGGAAAGATGACCTAAATCCTGGATGGGGTGGGGATGAGTGGTGGAGAGGTATTCTAGTTTAAAAGGGAATCCAGGGTACCACCATAGTTCCTGATCAATGGGTCAGGAATCACATTGGTCATGAAGATGATCCCAGAGCAAGTCTGACTCCAGCGCCAGCCTTTTGAAGAACCCCATAGTCATTCCTCAAGTGCCCTCTTTCAATAGGCACCCTTCCAAATCTCCTGCAACACATCACTCAAGTGTTTAATTTGAAATTTGCATGTAGTATCAGGAAGGGAGGGAAACAGGCCCAGATTTTTTTTTTTTATAGCTTTCCAGTTGTTTGTACAATTCTGGATCTTCTTTTTGTAAATACCTGACCATCTCCATCTTTTCTTATTTTCCAAATTATGTCCACAGAACTAGCATCCAGCACATCCTGCACCCTGACCTACTTCCTTCTTTCTCTCCTTACAATGAGCAGGCTGAGCTCCAGCCCACTTCCTCTCACACAAATCCAGTTAGGGACCTGGACCAGGAGATGGGCCCTGGCCAGATGGGGATACATGTCCATGCCAACCAGAGACCTCCTTCTTTTGTCCTTTTGCAGAACCTCCAACAGAGGTTACACTGACACTGTGGCCCCAGAGGGTGCTGTTGGGTGAAGCCTTCACCATTGAATGTAAGACATCAGCTGTGAAGCCCCTTGAGAGCCTCACCCTCACCTTGCTCCATGGCAAGAAGATCCTGCAGATCCAGACCTTTGAGGACTCTGAGCCTACCCTCCAAGAAGTCACAGTCACATTCAACAGCACAGTTTCGACAAAGGACAGCCTCAACTTCTCCTGCCAGGCTGAGCTGGACCTGCGGCCTTATGGCGAGAACATCACTCACTGTATCTCAAAGTCTCAGCTCCTGGATGTCTATGGTAAGGAGACCCTTGGAGCAGAGAGGGACAGTGGTAGCACTCTCTTTTGGCCTCTTGAGGAAAGAAAATTCCCAATTCCCACTCCCAGGTGGTTTAGGTGGTTTAATCATAAGGCTTCCCTCCTAATAGCTCCTTCCCTGGTTCTCTCTCCAAGTTTCCATCTTGGATCCCAACACTTCCAAAAATCAGGAGAGCTCAACTACCTGGTTGGCCATTATTAAGCTGTGTGACCTTGACCACGGCAATAGGCTCTCTCTGGCCATGACTTCTCTCTGCAATGAAAAGTCTAGCTGGCCTGACCCCTAGGCTCCCCAGAGCACTGCCATTCTATGACCATTGATGACCAAAGCCTGTTGTCAAGGAACTTGCCTGAAACTCACTCAACTCTGCCAGAGGAGGGGGCATGGTCTAAACATGACCATGATTTCCTCCAGGCCATGGTATCCAGCCACATCACATGCTGGAGGAGCTACTGGCAGGGGAGTGTCTGCTCCACCTAGTGGTGGCCTAGAGCACCAGACCACAATTATCTTAGATGCCACAGTTTTCTGGAACCAGAGTGATTGCAGAATGGGGATGTGTGGGTAAGGAATGGTGGGTGGGCTCCCTGGAGCCCTGGGACCTGAAGAATTTTTTTTTTTTTTTTTTTCCCTGAAGATTTCTAAGACCATTGCTTCCCCCTCCCCAGTGCTAATGCCGGACAACCAGATGGTCATCATCATCGTGGTCGTGTCAGTACTGCTGCTTTTGTTTGTGATGTCTGTCCTGCTGTGCTTTATTTTCGGCCAGCACTGGCACAGGAGGCGGACAGGCACCTATGGGGTGCTAGCTGCCTGGAGGAGGCTGCCCCGGGCCTTCCGAACGCGTCCCGCATGAACTGACACGGCCAGTCCCCTGGTGGCTGCTGGAATTCAGCATGGCTCCTTCAGGGTATGGTCCAGCCTTAGCTGAAGGACTGACAGCAGCATGAGACTCTGGGGACGTTTTCTTCTTTAACCTTAATATAAACACTTGGATTTAACCCTGTGTCCTCCATATCTGCTCCTAGGATAACAGTCAACAGTTCTGGAGAGGGAAGGTGATAAATGTGACTTACTCACCCCCAATGTTTCCCTCAGCTCCTCCCACTTCCCTGCTCTCTCCCAAGGCTTTCCTTATCCTGTGCAGTTCAGGCCCCAGACATCCACCCACACCATTAGGAGCGACTGATTCCTACTGAGGGCCCATGAAGCAGAAGACATTCCATTCCCACCTGGTCCTCAGGACCTAAGGTTGTTCCTGGTTGGAGAGGAAGACAGCCCTGACTCTCCTTTCCACCAACAGTCAAGTGAAGGAGGGCCCGGGGGGAGAGGGGGACTGGGTGAACTGTAGAGCCCTCCCTAGCTGGGCCTCTCCCTGATCATGCTGCCCCCTAAGGGGCCTTAAGGAGCATGGAGACAAGAGCATCTTCTTTTCTCTTCTTGTCCCATTATCAGGCCAAAAGATTATGCCACAGCTTTTGTCAGAGAAAGGAGGGAAGGGCAAAGGCCAATTGGGGCTTTGGTGGAGAGCCTTGCTATGATTCAGGCAGGAAACAGTAAGTAGGTTGGGCTTACATGGTTTCTGGGCCCTGGTGAGGCTTGAAGGAACACTTCTGCCAGAACTACCAGCCTAAGATGGCAGTGGAGTAGAGAAAGCCTGATGCCCCAGGGTAGAGGGCCTGGCTGAGGCAGAGGGGATGAGAGAGGCCAGCACATGCAGAGTCAGCAGACAGTAGAGGGGAAGGTGGGGACTCCAGGGCTCTGGCAGGCCAACACTGAAGCTGGTGAGGCCCTATGAGTAGCCATCTTCATGGCAGGCTCTCAGCATCATAGTAGCCTAGGGAGACAACACCCACATCTCATTTCCTTCCTGCCTTAGTGGACCCCATGGAGGAACATAGAAAGGAGCAATGCAGTCCCTGGAGAAGTGATTGACAGGAGCCCCCACCCATAGAGCACATGGCCCTCCTGGCCTCCTGATCCACCCCAGACTTGTCCCTCTGCCTACCCACCCAGCCCCCCTACCTGAAGCCGGGAGTACATCTACACCAACAGTCTCTGTGGCACTGGGGGGTGGGGGTGGGGGCACAGCTCTCCTGAGAGGGAAGAGAGAGAAGAAAGATTCCTTCAGAGGCCCTGGGTGGCTTTTGAGGTTTTACTGCCAAGCCAGCTCTTTCAACCCAGCCCAAGATCAGGCAACTGGCCTCACCCAGACCCCTCCAATCTCACTTACATCTCCCTTGGCTGGGAGGCAGGAGGCCCTTGCTGAATCCTGGGTACACCCTGCCAATGGGGCTGATGTAGGAGAGTAGGAGGGAAAGGCGCTGGCCAGGGTGGCATGGGGCCCAAGGAGAGCACTGGGCTGGGCAGATAGTGGTGGTGGAAGACCAAAGGTTCTTCTTCATGCGTGTCCCTCTCCTCCTCCAGCTGCTGCTGTTGACTGGTCATATAGACCTGGGATTGTGCAAAGGGAAGAGGGGAGGTGACAGACAGCACAGGCTTGGCTCTCCCTGCCCCCACTGCTGCAAGCCTACATTAGTTTCTGCACATACTCATCTGAACAATGACTACTGTTTAGTGTGCTTTCACTGCATGCAGGCAAGGCACTTTGGAGACATTCATTCCTTATCTTGAAGTGGGAGAACTGAAGGAGAAAGAACTTGTCTAAGAGCCTTAGTCAGTAACGGGCAGCTAGGGACCAGAAGACTCCTAGGGACTCCAGAGCAAGTGCTGGGAGTCTACAAAGCTGCCTGTGCTCCTGTGTCTTCTGGGACCCTTCGGTGAGGTGGGATGCTCATTCCAGAGCCTCCTGAGGAGGCGGGAACTCAGCAACAACTCAGGATCTCCACCTACCTGGACTCCCCTGACCAGCGCTGCCTTGAACCCCTTGCTGCCTTCTGGAGTCCCCTCTCCTTTCTCAGACCTCACACCCCTCACCACCCCCACCCTAGGTTCAAAATCCAACTTGGCTCTCAAGGGCTGATACTAAGGCCACCTGCTGTCCTCATAGGATGCTTCCTCCCTCATCAGGTGTACACTCACACTGTGTACCTCCTGTGTGCCTGTCACAGCCCACCCAGACTTCATCCACCATCATTCACCTATCCATTCACTTGTTCGACAAACCACAGTTGTACCCCTGGAAAAGGTTTAGCACCAGGATCCAGGCACCAGGGCTCCTGCCCTCCTGAGGTCTAAAGTCCACACGGAAATAGCCTTGAAAGCAAGACCCTGAAAGGGAAAACCTGAAAGCAAGACTAGGGTGGTGGTAGAGATTTGGTGACCCCACCTTCCAGACTGGAAGCTGACACTGGGCCTTGGCACATAATAGAAACCAAAGGGTCCCAGCAAGAGAAGTGTGAGCTGGCCTCCTGCTACTCTATACTGTGTCCCCTTTCTCCAGGGGAGACTCCCAGTTGAGTCTCCACCCTGAGGCCCACTCCCACACACCCCACACACCTGTGGGCTGGGCCACTCAGGCCAGGGGTTCAGCGCACCGGCCACCATGCGACTCAGTAGCAGCTGATGCATCTGTGCGTTCTGCAGCATCATCAGCTCCAGCAGGTCTGGCGGGGGGGGGGGGCGCGGTTCAGCAGGCCCATCCGGGCTCCCACGCTTCCTTCCCTCCTATGCGTAGACCCAAGGGCGTTTAATTTGGACGTAACCCAAGGAAGGAGTGGGGTGCGAAGCATAGGTGCTCCAGGGTGCGGGGCAGAAGGGAGACAGGTAGGTGACTGGGGTATCTTACCTTCCTTCACACGGCTGGGCTGCGGGGGCAGGGATGGGACAGCCCAAGGGAGGGGCTGCAGGATGGTCACCCAGGGCTGGAGACGCAGATGGGGAGACTCAGCCAGGCCAGATGGGATGCACACGTCAGGAGCCCCCCATCACCCCCATCCCGTACCTCCCTCTCAGTGCCTCTGCTTACCACGGCCTCCTGCCCTCTTCCTCTGTTTTGGGACCTTGCTTCCCCACCTCCAGCTCCACAACCCCCACACCACCTTCCCTTCAAGGCAGCATCTGCTCCCTCGCTCAGCCCTCACCATTGTGGCTGTACTCTGAGATGGGGCACCGCTCCCGCTCCAGCTGGCTTGGGAGGCCATGGCCCTGCAGGTCAGAGTTACCTCGGCAACTTTGAGGACGCCAGGGAAGGCTCCTCCCAAAGCGTGCAAGCACCATCCTGGTGCCTGGGAAACAGCTCAAGTCCCCGCCCTGGCCCTCCTCTTCCTCTAGGATTTCAGGCCCGGTCTTTCTTCTGGAGACCCACCCTCAAGCCTCCTGCTTCCGGGCTCCCCACACTTCAGTCTGCTCATCCTCCTGCACGTTGTTCCGGTGCTAACCCTCAGTACTGTGCCTCGGGGACGGGACGGGGGGGTGGGGGTGGGAGAACACGTTTGTTGAGTGAGCAGCTGGGATGACTTGGTTTCTAGGTCCCACAGAAATAGAAAATTTTATAAGACACTGCTTTGAGGGTGTGAGGCAGTTGAGTGACAAGGACCAAGGGTCTGCTCTCTGCCAATCTAGGAAATCACTCTTAGGAGAGAGGCATCCTAAGAACCACTGGGTTTCTGGAGGAGACCACCAGACGAGCCAAATTCACAGTCAGGGGCTCCAACCTAGAATGCCTAAAGTTGTTTGTTTCTTTCCTGCTGCTGTGTGCTCAGTTGGCTAAGGCTGAGCCACTCACTGCCCCTTAGAGGTGGAGAAGGTGAGCAGTCCAGCACTAGAATTCAGTGAGTGTCCCCATATGTTCTGGAAAGGTTACCAAAGTGATCATTCTTCTGACAGGAAGTGAGCAAGGTCTCTGTTACTCAAGAACAGGTGAGAGGGGAGATCTATTTCGGCAGCTGTGACATCCTAAGATAGGCCTTGAGCAGCAGTCCAGGAAAATCCCAACAGGAAGCTGGGATTAGCACCAGGGACTCACCAGTCCCCCATCTTCCACTTCTCTGCTCCCCTTCCCCCACACTCCTGGAGCCTAGAACCATAAAGAAAACTCCCATCTCCCCTTGCTCTTTAGTGCCTGTTTGTTGGTGATACTGTTACCAGATTTATCAGGATCAGAGCAGTGCCCTCTTAGCCCTAGTAAGCCGCACCTGCCACTCATCCTCAATAAGCCAATTAAAGAGCTAAACTAATAATAAAAGCAGAAAGGGGAGATTTCTTTAATGTGGCCACATTGGGAAAAAGGACAAAGTGATCCAGTGACACCCCTCCCCATCCAGTCCATCTTTAGGGTCTTGACATGAGGTTTGAGCAGAGGGCCAGAAGTCTGTAGATCTAAGCAGTCCTGGTGTGGTCATACCCATCGTTGGCCCATCATTGTCTTAGCTCCAGTCTCTCCTACAAGGTGATCTGACAAGTTGTCACAACTGTGCAAAATCTCTTTCTGGGAAACAAATCCCCCCCTCTGACTGGTACCAGGCTTTAGCCTTCTCCTAGCATCAAATTCCTGGGGAAATTCCAATTTCTTGGGGACCACTGTTTCAATAGTGTGACAGCCAAAGGGAGAGGCACAAGTGTCTCTTAGAATAGTCTCACCCCTGCCATGCCAGCTACAATATCATTTCAAAAGCCAAAAGTTAGCTGAGATCCTGCCCTCTCCATTCACATTCCAGGAAGAAAGGCAAAGCCAGACACAGCGCTCACCATCAGCAGACCTTCAACAAGGAAAGGCCTGTGCAAGAAAGTGCCTACGTGAACACTGAAGACACAGGGTTGCACCCTCCCTGGTTCTGAGATTGGGAGGAAATGGAAACAGAAGAAAAAGACCACACAGAGTCCCCAGTGGGTGAGACAGACTGGGCTGAGGACATAGCTCAGTGTTAGAGAACTTGGCTAGCACGTCCAAGACCCTAAGTTCAATACACAATACCAAGAAAAGGAGAGTACATAAAGAATAAGGGAGGCCTCCATCACTGGAGGATGGAGATCCAAGGGCCATAGGAGAGAGGAGACAGTCCGGGCTGGGGACCACCCAGGCAAAGGCATGGACGCAGAAATGGACAGGGCCTGAGATGACCCAGTGGGTTCAATTATTTAGGAGGCCATTATACATTATATTGATATACTGTCACTTGCCGTTTGAGCTCACTGAGAAGCTGGCTCTGGAAGCAGAGCTGTCCTCCATCCCTACCTTTTCATACCCAAGCATGTTTGTCTCAAAATGTCCTCCAAGGCCCCTTGTCTGGGGATGGGTTGGTCCCTCTAACTCTGACAGGAAGAGAACAGCAGAGCAGCCCAAGAGTAAAGACGCTATGCCCTTGAGAACAGCTAGAAGGTAAAGGATTCCCAACAGAGGTTACTCTGTTCATCCCTATCTATAATGGGAAAGAGAAGCTGGAAGTTCAGCCGTGGGAAGCTCAACCCCAAGAAATTGATATTTCCTCAGGAATTTTATGCTAGGAAAAAGAGAAGCTCCTCTGCTATATATTTTGAGCATCTGATTTGATAATGTTTTCTCTCTCTCTCTCTCTCTCTCTCTCTCTCTGTTTATTTTAGCTTGCTACATACTTAGTAAACTCAATCATTCAAAACCAAAAGTGTGGGGCTGGAGAGGGGGCTCAGTGGTTAAGAACACTGACTGCTCTTCCAGAGGATCCAGTACCCACATAGTATATGTATATATATTATTGATCCCACTTTATGTGAGGAAACAGGCTAGGTAACCTGTCTAGCTGGTTACAGACCAGTCTGAAACACCCTGGCTAGGAAACCAGTTGGTCTCTGGGTCTCAGACTATTTCTGGTATGCAAAGGGAGCGTAGAAGACCCGGGTTCGAATCCCAGCACCCACATGGCAGCTAACAACTGTCTGTAACTCCAGTCCCAGGGGCTCCAACAGCCTCTTCTGTCCTCTGTGGGCATTGCACCACACAGGTGCACTTTACCTACGTTCAGGCAATACACACATAAAATAAATACAATAAAATAAATAAATAAATAAATAAATAAAACCCAAAAGTATGGCTATAACTCTTTGGAACATATGGAACAAGCAGACACAGGTCTGACCCAAGAGACTGGAATTTGAGGTTATAGAATGTAAGCATCACCATCCTGGTAATGGGCAGGTGTTGAGCAGGAGAGAATGGGTGATGTACATAGCTATGTTTAGAAAGATTCATCTTGTACCTCACATCTTTATATCAGCCCCAATTCAATGGCCATTTGTTTTTTGAGACAGGATCTCAGGTATACCAGGCTGGCCTCAAACTCCACACATAGCCAAGGACAGCCTTGAACTCCTGATCCTCCTGCCTGTACTTTCCAAGTGCTGGCACCACAGGTATATGTTACCACAGCTCACTTATTTGTGGTGCTGGGGATCCAACCCAGGTCTTCATGAATGCTAGGCAAACTATCAACTGAGTCACATTTCCAGCCCAATAGCTGAAATTCTAAGTAAGAGATGCTTCACAGGGGTGTGCCCTCCCAACAGAACACTCCAGCCATTAACCATCCTGACATAGACTATCTATTGACGTAGGAAGATGTCAAAAGAGTTGAGTGAAAAAAAATCAGTAGGCATAGTGGGACCTTATTTGATTTGTCTTTAAAGACTTCCTTTGGGAACCTTTTGTACTTAGAATCCTTACTACAGACTCAATTTTTGATTAGTTCTTCCTAGAAATCTAAATGATAAGATCTTATTTTTGCTTTTAAAAATCCCATGTATTGGGGCTGGAAAGACAGCTCAGAGGTTAAGAGTTCTGGCTACTCTTGCGGAAGACCTGGTTTCAGTTCCCAGCATCCACATGGCAGCTAACAACTGTCCGAAACTCCAGTTCCAGAGGAATCTGATACTCTCTTCTGACCTCTGTGGGCACTGACACGGGTGCACTTACACACATACAGTCAATTCATTCATATACATAAAAATAAAAATAATGCGATTTTTTAATCACATGTATAGGAGCTAGGGAGACGGCTCAGTGGTTCAGAGCACTTACTGCTCTTCTGAAAAACCTGGGTTCAGTTCTCAGCACCCATATGGCAGCTAACACCATCTAAAACTCCAGGTTCAGGGGATCTGAAATTTTCCTCTGGCCTCAGCAGGCACTGCACACACATGGTGCACTTACATGCATGTAGGCAAAACACTCATGTACATAAATAAAAATTAAAAAACAAAATATTTTTTAAACTCTCACATATATAGGACTGGAATGTAACTCAGTGGGAAGATCATGAGCTTCATAAGTGAGAGGCACTGGGTTCAATCCCTAGCATCACACAAGTATACAAATCATAGGCATACACTTGTATATTTAGAAAGAGAGAGAGAGAGAGAGAGAGAGAGAGAGAGAGAGAGAGAGATTATGTGTGTAAAGAGAGAAAGAGAGATCCAACCATTAGCGCCTGCCCCTGCCCCCTCCTAACCTCCCCAGGTCTTCTGCTTCTGGTTCCCTTACTTACTTGACTTTCCATTTTTTGTCCAGGTGAGACAGGCCAGGAGTCTCAGGAGCACCTCCAGCACTGAGGAATGTGGGAATTCTTAGGTGTTGGTCAAAGTGTCTCCAACACAGACCCTCTCAGGGACACCTCACGGGCTGATGCCCATATCACCCCACTCCTGAACATGCTCCTTACTGACTTTTCTCCCATCCCCATCCTTTCTTACTCTGTTACAGTGCTCCTGGGATCCCCTTCCAAATAAACTACTCACTCCCAAATCCTTCCTACCAGGTCGGCTTTGGGAGGTTCCCCACTTAACTTTTTCTCCACATCTGTCCCTCCCATGGAAAACTGGTAAAAGATACTGCTATAGTTGTTCTATTGTAAACCTGCTTCAGAGAAACAAAATACTGACAAAGAAAAAAAATCTGTCTGGGTGTAAAATGGATTCAACAGAGGCAAAGCTGGAGGCTGAGACTGGTGATGAGGCCGCCACCTTCATCCTCCTGAAAGGAGCCTGGGCAGGTTGGAGGAAAACAGGTGGGAAGAGGTGCCTGTCCCAGTCACAGAGACATAGAGCTATGTGTTAATCCGATGTGAAACTTGAATTTTACTTTATTTTTAAAAAATATTTCATTTATTTTTATTTAAAATAAAAATATTATGTGAGTGCACCTGTGCAATGCCATGGAGATCAGAAAAGGGCTTCAGATTCCCCTGGAACTGGAGTTAAGGACGGTTCATAGCTGCCATGTGGATGCTGGGAATCGAACCCAAGTCCTGTGCAAGAGCAGTCAGTGCTCTTAACCACTGAGCATCTCTCCAGCCCCAAGACTTGAGTTTTAGAATACAAGGCTGAGATGAAAATTCTCTGGTTTGTAATAATTTTCAAGTTCTTTTTTTAAAATTTATGATTATTTTTTATTTTATGTGTATGAGTGTATTGCCTGCATTTATATAAGTGTACTCGTGTTGTGCAGTGCTCTTGGAGGTCGGAAGAGGGCGTCGGAGCCCCTGGAACTGGAGTTACAGATGGTTGTTAGCTGCCATGTGGGTGCTGGGAACTGAACCTGGGTCCTCTGCAAGGGCAGCCAGTGCTTTTTCTTAAAAATATTTTATTATTTTTATTTTATGTGTATGCGTGTATTGCCTGCATGTAGGTGAGTGCACCCATGTTGTGCAATGCCCGAGGAGGTCAGAAGAGGTAGTCGGAGCCCCTGGAACTGGAGTTACAGGCAGTTGTTAGCTGCCATGTGGTTGCTGGGATTCGAACCTTGGTCTTCTGCAAGAACAACCAGTGCTCAACCTCTGAGCCATCTCTCCAGCTCCCCAGTGTTCAAGTTCTTTGTCAAAGGATATCTGGAGCACATCCCACATGAAGGAGGGAAATTCCCAAATAGCTGCCTGGGCTCTGTCCGGGAGTTCTGTCAGCTCAGGAGAGCAGAGGAAGTGATCAGCTAGCTGCTTTCCAGCCCACTATTATTTTCGTTCAGATATTGAACTCTCCCCATTTCCTCTTCATTTTGTCCCTCAGTACAGACTCGTGCTTACATCTTTGGGTTTTTCCGTGTGTGTGTGTGTGTGTGTGTGTGTGTGTGTGTGTGTGTGCATGTGTGTGTATGTGAGCGTGTGTGTGTGTGTGTGTGTGTGTGTGTGAGCGTGCATAGCCATCTGTGCTTGAGGAGGCTGGAAGCTGACATTGGGATGTCTTCTTCCACTGCTTCTTCACCTTGGTTTCTTCAGACAGGATCTCACTGAACCTGGAGCTCATCATGTTGGCTAGACTGGCTGGTCAGTGAGCCTCCTGGATCTGCCCATATCCACCTCCCAGCACTGGGCTTACAGATGTACACCACCACACCATCTAAACTCAGGTTCTCACACTTACCCAGCCTGTCTCCCCAGTCTCTGTTTGTTTATTTTGGGGGGCAGGGTTGTATGTGTGTATCTCAGGACAATTTGTCCTCCTAGTTGCCAAGGTAAATCCATTTCTAAGGCTAAACCTGGAAAAAGATTTGTACTCAAAATATGTTCATCATAAGGCTGGGCATGGTGGCAAATGCTTTTAGCCCTAGCACTTGAGAGGCAGAGGCAGGAGGACCTCTGTGAATTCAAGGCCATCATGGTCTACATAATGAGACATATCAAAAAGCCACAAAACAAAAGGAAAACCCACGTTCATCACGGTGGTTTGTTTGTTCGTTTGTTTTATTGTTCTTGTTCGGTATTTTTGAGACGGAGTGTCCCTGTAGCCATAGCTGACCTGGTACTCAGGTTGGTCTCGATTTTTCAGAGGTCTACCTGCCTCTGCCTCTGCCTCCTGAGTGCTGGGATTAAGGCGTGTGCTACCATGCCTGGCTCACAGTGTTTTGGTTTTTTTTAGTGTTTTCTTTGTTATTCTTATGTATACGCATGTATTGCCTGCATGCACCTGAGTGCACCCATGTCATGCAGTGCCCACGGAGGTCGGAAGAAGGTATGGGATTCCCTGGAACTGGAGTTACAGACAGCTGTTAGCCACCATGTGGGTGCTAGGATCTGAACCCAGGTCCTCTGCAAGAGCAGCCAGTGCTCTTAACCACTGAGCCATCTTTCCAGCCTCCACAGTGTTATTTTTTAAAGAGTTGAAAATTGAGCATTACCTAATAGGAGAACAGTTGAGTGAAGGGCAGCATTCACCCAAAGGAACATTGTGCCATCATTAAAACCCTCAGAACTGAGCTGGGCTGTGGCGCACGCCTTTAATCCCAGCACTTGGGAGGCAGAGGCAGGCAGATCTCTGTAGGTTAAAAAGAAACAAACAAAAACAAAAACAAAAAAAACCGCTTCAGAACTAGAAAGGTGAGCTCCTCACTTCTTTATAAGAATTCAAGCCATCCTCTGTGTTTATGTTAGACACAGATGAAGAAGAACCACCAAGAGCAACAGCCAAGCATCAGGCCTTTTCTTGGGCCCAGTTTAGAAAGAGACAAGGAGCTAAAATACAAAGTTTGGAGGAAAAAGACAATGTGCCACTCTGCAGAATTCTGTAGTCAATGTAAGGGAAGAGGGGGCCTTGGAAGTAAACCAGCAAAGGAATTTTGTCTGCATAAAAGCTCTCCCGTCACTACCTCCATCAGTACTGGTTGTTCTTGTGAGATATGAGTGTGCTTTTATCCAACAGGTGGCACTCTGGGGACATTACAATATGTAGATCTGGGTCAGGGAGATGGCTCCATGGGTAAAGGTGCTTGCCACCAAGTCTGGTAATCTAAGTTCAATCCCCAGGACCCACATAGTGGAAGGAAAGAACTGACTTCCACACAAGTGCAAGCACACCATAGCACATGTACGGTGGTACACGCCTTTAATCCCAGCACTCGGGAGGCAGAGGCAGGCAGATCCCTATGAGATCAAGACTAACCTGAGTTCCAGGACAGCTAGAACTACATAGTGAGACCCTGTCTCAAAAAAAAAAAAAAAAAAAAAAATCGTACTGCTAGAGTGCCCTCGGATGATGACCTATTTTCTTTCAAGGTCCCACCCATTAGAACTGCACTACAAGGAGCTGGAGAGATGGCTCAGCAGTTAAGAACACTGGTTGTTCTTGCAGAAGACTGGGGTTCAAATCCCAGCACCCACATGGCAGCTAACAACTGTCCGTAACTCCAGTTCCAGGGGATCCAACAGCCTCCTCTGACCTCCGAGGGCATTGCACAACACCAGTGCCCACATGTAAGCAATACACACATACAGATAAAAATAATAAATAAAATATTTTAAAAAAGAACTGCACTACAAAATGGAGTCTCAGAGCCTTCCCTCTCAGGACCTGTGGAACTGGGGAGCCACCAAGAAAATCTCTGCTAGAAGTTCCAGGAAATCCCTCTGAACAAACAACCCAGGGAAGAACCTGACTGCTCAGGCTGGGGTCAGGGGGTATGACATACCCACTCCCTGTGGGTTAGAGTGGGACTTGCTGGGAGGTGATTCCACTTTGCAGAATTCACTTATTTTTGGCTTGAGTATAGCACAGTGTAAGTTAGATTAAGGAAGAAGAGGGGTTTTTGTTTGTTAGCTTTGGGTTTTGCTCACATGATAGGACAGAGATGGAAAAGGTATATACTCTGACTGGCTCAGATGTCTATGATAACAAGTACCATCCACCTGACTGGATTAGAAATGCCTAGGAGATTAGTAAAGCGTACCTTTGGGTGAGTCTCAGGGTAGTTCCAGAGAGGATTTGATCATGAGGGTTCTGAGCTAATCAATAGATTAATCCCTTGATGGATTCATTACAGGATGGTATTGGGGGGAGGTGGTAAAAAGGAGGTACTCTGACCAAGTTAGAGGAAGTAAGTCACTGAGTGTCCTGAATGGGAGCAGTCACTTGATAGTAACTGTCCTGAATGTGTCTCAAGCCACTAGCTTGAGTGTGACATCCAACATGTGTCACTGCTTCTCGGGAGAGCTTAGGACAGGCGCAACGGACAGAAGAGATTCTCACACACGACTGTTTGATTGCATTATGCATTTACTAGGTCAAAGCATAACAAACACACATCAATACAAACACTCAAAGGGAAACCCGGTCCTCTAGCAGTTAAGAGTCCCAAAGTCTCTTGGAGTACCTTCCAGAGGTTAAGCCTTCAGGCACTCCATGTGGAGAGGTTCTCTAGTCCGCCATGATCGGTGCACTCTCCCGGCTGTGGAGCTGTCTCTCGCAGGTTCTGATCACGTCCGGTCGTGGCAGACTCCATCAGTCTCTGGCTCTCAGGCTCGGGTCCTCGATCAGGTCTCAGGCGAGGCTCCGGTCTGGTCTCGGGCAGAGCTTCAGGTAGCGGTCTCAGGTTTTGGGCAATGTGCCGGGATGAGGCCCACGGATTCAGAGTCTCGTGTGGCCAAGCATCAAAAGAATCTTTTTAGCTACCAGATTTTATATATTTCTTTTCTGGCTGAAGTCCTTCTGACTTACGTCAGTAACTTCAGTGTTTTCTTGAGATATGGCTCACACCCTGTGGTCACTTATCACCAACACACAGACACTCAACTCACATAGGTTCTGTTTGGTTGCTGAGTTACAACTTAGCTTCTTATCTACTTATCTATTTCACACAGTGTCACAGCAATGTTCAGTTTGGTTTCAGAGTTTACAGAGTTAATATTCATCTTTAATTTCTGATTTCTAAATTCCTAATAAATTCCTAATACATTCAGTACAAGGACATAGTCTAACGCTGCGGAGCAGTCACAGTGGCAGGGGCAGGAGGCAGCTAGCCACATCACGTTCACAGTCAAGAGCAGGGAGAAATGAATGCCTGCGTACTCGCCTGCTTGCACTCAATTCACTTTCTCTACTTTTAACACCGTTCAAGAACCTCCTGCCTAGGGAACGCTACCACTCACTG